TGGTGCTCGCACCGCCTGGGCTTGCTCTTTGTGGGCTCTGGGAGCCTTGCTGGGAGCCAGGGTGCTGCACAAACGTGCTCTGTGAGGCACGTCTTCTCCTCAAAGCTTTCCAGCGGAGCAGCCAAGACGAATGAAAAGGAAAGATGGTGCCGTCCAGCTTTCTTGCTCCTTGCGGAGAGGCTTTGCCCCCAATTTGGGTGCTGCTTAAAGCAATTTTGCTGCATGCGTGGCACAGGTTTCTCTCCGTGTTGATGTAGGAGCTGTACAGGCATGTGCAAGATCACGGCACCGAGAGCTTTTGCAAACTCACAGATGTTTCCAGATGTGTAGCTGATGGATCTGTAGGGAGCTCAGCTGAGGGCTCGTCACTAGCATCTTACCAGCATTTATCAGCTGACCTGTGAGTGTAGTGCTAAGGGAAAGGGCATATCCCAGCTCTACAAAACAAGCTTTTTCCTGGCAGCATCATCAACTGGGAAAGCTGAACTCTCTGTGTGGTCTGTCCCATCTCCCCAACCCTGAGATGCTCTGTAGTTTTCCTCCCAGAGCTTGGAAACCAGAGTAACAAATGCAGGTTCCCACGCACGTGCACTGTGAATGCCTGATGCTAGAAGGGGCCAGGTCTTCTGTGGTATCACCGGCGATGCCTTTGCTAGAGATTCGTCCCGATGTGTTAATTCAGGAATGATTACTGCTGCAATTTGGTTCTGGTGGTAAGACAATATGCCTAGTGAAAATGGCAGCTCTCGTTATGTGTGTCTTGTGCTTGATTCTTGTCCCTTCTATGGAAAGGGCACATGGTGTTTGCCAAAACCCAGCGCTGTGGGTTTCAATTTCTGCAGGTTGAGGTAAGTCTGCCTTGCCACTCCTGCACCCTCTGACCACAAAAACCCCCCAGCCTTACATTGACCTTACATAAGTGATGTGATATAGACCGGAGTGGGTGGGGCAGAAAGATCTTTTGACCATTGCTTTTGATTTTGTGGAAGTGGTTAATCACTAGAAGCAGAAAGGGAGGATGGCAGCAGCATCTGCCCACCCGATGGGGTTTATGTCTTCTCTTGCATCATGCCCAAGGATGCCGATGGTACGGAGCAGAGAGGAGCATGCTGGATAGAGAGCAGGCGTGTTACCCTGCATCCGAGGGAGGGTTGGTATCACAGTGTGATGCTGTCACGGCGTCAGGAGGCCCACGGCTGCCCATGGGACGGTGCTTGGCATCATCACTCCTGCCAAGGTAATGCTCTAACCCCCGGCTCTCCTGGCAGCCCCGCATGCGGTGCTCTCCCCATTCGCCGGACAGCCAGGTTAAAACTTTGTCAACATGAGTGAACTGGGCTGATTTTTAAGCTGACTCAGTTTTCAAACAAGCTCTTGGGCTCAGTCCCACCAGGGTGTGCGTCAGCTTCAATTATTTCCTGATAGACTTGGATCATAAACAGCAAAAAAAGCCTTTGTTTAGACCGTAAGACGAGCATCCAGCTCTGCCTTTGGCACCACATCAGCTAAATCCCGTCTTCTGCGCGCGTGTTTTGTGCAACCCAGGGCAGTTCTGGTATGACAGAGGTCAGGCCTGGGGCTGCTCTGGAGCCTCCTGCAAGGCTCTCAGGAGGAATTGCAGAGGTTTAGGAAGGTACCTAAAAAAGATGGGTTCTCGAAGCAGAAAGATTTGCGTCTCACTCACGGACAGGTCAAGTGCAGTGATTGGAATTGAGATGTGCAGAAGCAAGGAGCCCAACCCCAAAATAACGTGTCTTACGAAGGCTCTGAAACGGGCTGTTTGTTTATCCCAGTACTAAACTGGTGCATTTATCTACAGACCAGTGTGGAAAAGACCATACTATCATGGCTGGCTTATGCCCTTGCACGGTACCGAGACCAGAAGGAGGTGCATGAGTTGCTGTGTGCAGAAGTCATGTTCTCTGAATCATGTTTTAAAACCCCAAAACAGGAGTAGCCCAGTACCTGCAGGGCTTGTGAGTTGAGCTTGCTAGTGAAATTAAAAGGGCTGAAAGAGCAGCCTGGTGGGGATGCCCATGTGAAGGATGAGCTGGCTGTGGCCACCGATGTAGAGAGAGAAGGATTAAAATAGGTTTTACCCTGCTCTAACATCTTTCCTTGGAGCCCCTGATGTGCTGTCTTGGTGTTGATGGACGATTTGCTGCGTTCTGTTGAGGGGATTTCTTTGGGCTGAATTTCCCAGAAATTGGCTTTATGTGAAGCGCAGGTCTGACCTCCCACCAGCTGTCCGGGGACACTGCTCAGGACGTCTGGCAGCTGCACGCCGAGGGCCGGCATCAGCACACTGCTTGGGAGAAAACCTCTGACCAGAGAGAGAAGATGGTCCTACCACATTTCTACCAGCACAAACTTGTTTCTGTTCCTTCCTCAGCTTTTTTGCCACGTTCCTCTTGTGAATCGTTTCACTTCCCTGACAGTTTAGTTGTTGGGATAGTACCAGAGACAATTTTGATTGTCTCTTTCGGGATTATATTGGAGAGAATTTGCAGCACTGAATTGCAACACAGCGGCTACTTAATCCACAGCATTTTAGCACGTTGTGTCCCTTTTTCCATGCGATGCGGTGGGGGCTCGGAGACGGAAAGCTCGGTGCAGTGCTGAGGGTGGACGCTGTTCTTTCAGGGGATGCTGCAATGCTTTGCAAGGGTAACAGCTGAAAAAAATAGGTTAAACGAAAGCTGATGGCACCGCACAGCTTGCTGTGGATATTATGCAAAGGTAAAAAAAATAGAGTAGGTGTCAAAATTCATGGTGTTTTCTTCTGGCATTAGGGATGCTGATTACACAGCGAGGAAGGTGTTGCTGGCAGAGAGCAGTTAGAGGGAGCAGCATACGCTGTCGCCTTCCCAAAATGTTTTGAGGTTTTAATTAAAGAATGGCTACAACGTGTTTCCAGAGCTTCCAGTGGAAAACATGAAATGAAACCTTCTCTTTCATTATTTTTTCTGTTTTAATTTGACAGGATGAGCCTCCTAGGGCTCATCCATCCCCAAGCCTAGAGCACTAGGTATTTCTTGCTGCGGGGTCACCAGCGGGAGGGGAGATTTCGGCGTGCCTGAAGTTTAGCATAGGCTGACATCCCATTGAAATTTGCGGGATTAAAACCCTTATTTCAAGTTAAGTGTGGTGATAAATGAGGTGTTGAAAAGTATGGGTTTAAATATGCTCTTAAACCCATATTTCCCGAGAATCAGGAGGTATGGCTGTCAAATGCTTGCGGAGCTCAGATGTGAAATGGCTCCTGACTCGCGCTGTTTCCAGCTCGTACTGCCGCAGTATTTTCTGTATGCCGTGCCCGGCTGGTATCTGTGGATCTGGAGTTTCTACCTGAGCTGTCGAAATCGCTTGTCACTGCGTGCCTGATGGAGGGGGTGGGCGCTGGTGCTGTCACTTCGCTGCTGGTTAGTGCAGATGGAGCTGGGCAAGCATCGCCCCTGAATTAAATCAGCTTGTGATTAATGGTCGTCGCTGCGTAGGTGCCTGGGTATGTCTGGGAAGAAACTACCCCAGTTTCTGTCAAGGCTTTGTATCTTACAGAGTGGACTGAATGGAGAAGCTAAAGATCACAAGTCCTACATCGATATTTCTGCTCCAGCCATCTGCAGATAGGCCCTTTCTGTCTTGGTTTTTGTTTGTTTGTTTGGATTTACCTGATGTAATTGTTTCCCTGCACACCCAGAGGTGATTTGTCAAAATCCCTGTTGCTCCTTGGTTAATTCAATATTTATAATGTCTTTATAAGGCCGGTGCCGCTCTGCTGACTTGGAGGCGAGGTGGGAGAATACATTGCATAAATTAGGCTGCGTGAAACGGGCAGCTCGCAGCTCTGCCAGGGCACTGGGGCTCGAAGGGAGGACGTGAAGGCAGCAGTAATTGGGTGTGCAGGTAGAGAAGATGCAGCATCTTCCTCAGCATCCCTGCCCAGCTCGTCCCAGCGCACAGCGAAATCCTGAGCAATCACTGTGAATGAACAGCAGCGGCGAGCCGAGCCCAGGCTCATTGTGAATTTTAGGGCTTCCTATTTATTTTCTGTGTCTTCATGATGCAGACGTTTCATGATGCAGCAATTTCATAAAACCAGGAAGATGCCACAAATTGTCACATCTTGATTTTTTTTTTTTTTTATCATTATTATTATTTAGATCAGGTTGATCTCTGCCTGTGACCTTTCAGAGAGCAAGCCGGGCAGAGCAAGATGGGTGGTTTACATTATTGGATGTCATATCATGCGTTGGTATATAAAGATCTTGAAATGAAACATGATTGAACTGTCCAGAAACTAGTATTTGTATTTTGTTTTATTTTTAGGAACCAAAATTTCTAGAACCAAATTCTTAGAAACTTTCAGAGTTGAATTTTTCTAAGCCACTACCCTTCTGGGTGAAAATTTTAACCAGAATTGAGAAGACTCTACCGAAATCCCTGTTTTCTTTGAAGCTTTTTATTTCCTCACAAATATATGTTTTGAGAGTTTCTGATGAGCATTGTCCCCAAGATCTCCATCAGCTCACAAAGCCTCTTAGCATTTACTCTTTTGTAAAGCAGTTTTGACGGTAATGGGTGGGTAGTTTGATTTATTTAATCAACCTCTGTAAAACTCAAGTGCTGAAAGCTATTACGTAGTGTCAAATGATAACGATGCTGCTGCTGCCTGAATTGCAAAGCGACGACTGGGCTGTGCGGATCCCCCAGCACAGCAGCCAAGAAGGGACCTCGTCACCCTTACCCAGGCGGGACCCGTGCAGCCCTGCGTTCCTTCTCCAGCAGCAATGTCCACAAGTCCGCAGGATGGGGTGGCCCTTGGTGAAACACCCCATCCTTGCAACACCTTAGCAATCAGTGGGGTTTCTTTTTTCCCCTTCCTATACAATTTTTAGCCTGGTCCTTTATGGCTTGCCAGCTCTGGAGTCAGAGCATCCTGTGGGTGGGATGGCAACCCTGCAGACACCTTACCTGGCATCTCTCCCTTGTCTTTGCAGGAGGGGGATTCCCTCGGGGCCATGGAGAAGCTTTGCCGGCAGCTCACCTACCACCTCAGCCCCCACTCGCAGTGGAGACGCCAGGGCATCATGAAGAGGAAGCCGCAGTCCTGGTGAGTCGGCTTTCAAAAGCCACCGTCACCCCGGTGGGTTACTGTCCCCTCCCTGGTCCTTGCATCCTTGGGGCCGTCCGCAGCCTCAGGAGAGCGGGCAGGGGGGGTTTCCACAATGTTTTTGGCCGTGGTGTGCAAACGTGGATGCCGGTGGGAGCTGCCTGTTGCACACCCGCAGTGACAGGAGGAACAAATCCACCACGATGAAGGAAAGTGCTTAAAACCATTAGCCAGGGCTGCGAGGAAGCCGGGAGGTCAAAACCTTGTCAGCTTGCCACAACCTGCAAAATCCTCAGTTGGCTCCGATCTCACCAGCGTTTCCCCCCGTGCGTGGTTGTGTTATCAGGTTGTGTCATCATAGTATCATGTTTTCGAAGCAAGTGACTGTTTTAAAATTATTGAGCGTATATTCTTTCCAGGAGAATGAGAATATTAGTGTGTCATCACATCAAGTCATGTATACTGTAGTATTTTGTTAGAGAATTTGGATTAGGAAATAAGAAGTACAAGTGTGTAACAATGTAAGTAGTATGCTAATGTCTAGAACTTGTGATCAACTTATTTTCATTTTTGAGAAATCCTTTTCAGCATCTCTCTAAAGCATTAACTGTGAAGTTTAAATGAAAGCCCACAATTCCTAAAACTTCATTCATACGTCTGTTAACAGTATATACAATATTCCAAATGCAATTAGAATTTGGCAACTGTCTGCGGGACTGATACATGGCTGACAAAATATCCGAAATTCAGAGGTGTTTTCCTCCTTTTCCATTTTCCTTTCCCCGTTGCACCCCGGTTGCAGAGGAGAGCAGCACAGTAGTGCCTGGTGAGGGGGAACAGGCTGGAAAACCTAAACCATCCATCCTCCAAACATCCCCATGCTGGGCATTGGAGAGCAGGAGACAAACTTCTCCAAGACATCCTAATTAGCTGGTAATTAACGTACAGGCACGTGTCAGCATGCATACTGTGGCTTGCAGCGTGTTTGCATGAAGGGAACTGTTTGATTAAAAATAAGGAGTAAATGACCCCGGTCCCCTCCTCGCCCGGGTTCTCAGCAAAGCATCCCAGCTGCCGACATCCTGGATCCATGGAGCTGAAAAACCTGTGGATGAGGCTGATGGGAACTGAAAGGACTCCTTGTTTTCCGTGCTGTTGTGCATTATATATTTATTATTTTTGTTTAAGGAAGTGAGAAATACAAAAGAAGTCGCAATCTGGCAGAGCCAGGATTTGTATCCAGGTGCGGGCTTGTGGTCCCAAAAGAGTTTTGGTTCCTGTTGTAGCAGATGCTATTTGTAGCCACAGTGGAGACTGATGCAGTGAAAAAACGTAGTCTGAAAAGAGAAGAAGAGGGGAGGAATGGACATAGGAGGAAAACAGACACAAGGGAATAAAGGATTGCATGGCCAGATAGGATTAGGACCACGTCTTCCAGAGATCTAGCTCAGCATCCTTGCACCCTGTTGTCCTTAGAGACCCAAATGTGGAGAAACGCCTCCGTTTCATTAGCAGAGGTAACCGTACTTCTGCATGTCGAGTGTTTTTAAGGTGTATGGATGAATAAAATTCGCTCTTTCCCATAAAGCAGCAGAAATAGAGGGAGCATGTTGGGGCTGGGTGCTGCAAGGCTGTACCCCGCAGGTTGGGCTCAGCACCCAGAGCCGGGTAATGACCCGGGAGCTCCGTCACCCTTGTGGTTTTGTTTCTTAATTAGAATGGGAAATGTACGCCCCTTGTCATCCCATCAGGGCATTATTAAAGTTACCCTGATGTGGCAGTGGGGAGCAATTTACAGCCCAAAAGACAAGAAATTATTGAAAATGAAAAAATTAAAGCAGTGCTTTGTGCCACTCTGTCTTTAATTACCAATCCCTGTCCTTAATTATCAGCTTGGAGTAGTTGTGCGAGCCCGTCCGTGTGCCAGAGATTTGCGAGGCTTTATCTTACAAGCCTGCTGTAGTGCGTGCCTTTCCTTGGAAAAGCTGGGAAATAGCTGAGGTTTTTCACGGTTTTAATAGCAGGGGTGAGGTTTCAGCCTTGACCGCACGGCAGCGACCCCGGGGCTGCGAACACGTGGTGCTGGCTCCTGGCTCTGCCCTGGCGAGGGTTTGTAGGGCAGGATTGCTTGGGTTTCGGGTTTAGATGCTCGTTTAGGATGTGTCTGTGAGTTGAAGCCAACCCTTTGCTAGAAGTTGAAGCCAACCTTTTGCTAAGGTCTAAATGCCATAATACGGAGAATAGAGAGAGAATAGAGAGAGCATCTGTCTTGTCTTCCTTGTACTTGAGCACCCACTGCTTTGTTTGTGTGCTGGCAGTTACCCTGGTAAGGATGCTCCTGATCTCGTGTCTATGTGTGTGTTAGTTGGTGGGTAATTCCTTCCACAGCCGATGATCCACGGGTGTTTCTTCAGAGCCCTCTGCTCTGGGTTGGGGTCTGTGTGTGCCCCGCGATGCCTCCAAGGGAATAATGGGGTCTTATTCCCAGATGTTGGTGTTGGCTTGACCCAGCCCTGCTGTCAGATGTTGCAGGAACTTTCAAATATTAAGTTTCCACACATTTTTGTGTGTCTGTTGGCCATCCACAACCCATCAGTGCTCTGCTCTGGGGTGTAATTAGCAGCTGGCTCTAATGACCAGGGAGCTACAGAGCCCCTCTTCGCATCCCGTCTCTTTGCGAGAAAAAGAACGTCCGCTTGGTGCGGTGATAGCAGAGAGAGTTTGGTCCCCGCTGGTGGGGTAGGAGAGGACAGGCCCATTTTATCAGAAATAAAAACAAGGCCTGTGGGAATGCTTTCCCAGCTCTTTCTGTAGCTGGTTTTATCATGCCACGTCTTGTCCGGTTCCTTTGCTTTGCTGGTTGCTTTTCATTTAGAAACTAAACAGAGCCAATAAATCAAGCGATTTCTGGGCTTTCTTCAAAGTTCCCATTCCTCCCATTCCTCTCCCTCCTTGTGTGCTGGTTTTCGGTGGGGCTGTGCCCCATGGGGTAGGTGTTTGGGAAGTAGCTACAGACGACCCTTGTAATTAGGATATATTTTATTTTGCTTTATCGGAGGCTACCCTTGTAAAATCTTCTTTTGCGCAGGCACAGAAGCTGTGCAACCCGGTGCCTGGGAAGTCTGGGAGTTGTGGGGGGAATCCCGTTGGTCCATGGATTCACTGCTCCTGTTATGGGCTCACTGGATGTCTCTCCTTGATGTTCAGATACTCCTCGGTGGGCCCCTGCACCGCACAGCCAGTGGCCCATCTGGGGCAGAGATCAGGTATCAAGAGCCGTCTTTCTAAAAGGAAAGGCTCTGTCCTTGTTTTTTGGGGGAAACTGGCTTAAATTCACCACTGGGACAACAAGCCTTTGGTTATAATACCAACAGAGCACAGGGGGCTCTGGCAATGTTTTCAGTCATGAGTTATTAAGGGAAAAGCATTGGAAAATGCACTGCGATGCGCAAGCTATTGTGTTGCAGTAGCGATTTAGCCGACTATGAGTGATTCACAAAAAGTGCAGCAATCGGCCCATGACCCTGCCTGCGTTGGGATGAACCTCAGGGCTGCAGCTCCCGCGGGCTGTGGATGCCGGCGCAGCCCCGTGGTCCACCCTGGGGTCCCCGGGTGGCCCTGACAGCAGGTTCGTGGGTGCCTTGCAAGCCTTCCCCCCCTCTGCCGAGGCTTTTCTTTGGAGGGTGATGAAAATTAAAGCCAAAAGCTTGGGCAGCACATGTGTAGCTTTACTCACAGAAGAGAGGTTTATTGTTCAAAGCCTGTTTTATCCTGCCTGTCGTGGTGATATCAGTCATGTTTGGGGCTCGAGTCTCCTCTTACCTCATTTTTGTAGACTCGGAAATCCCTCGACTTCCCTGGAACTACTCTTGATTTGCAATGAGGTCGGTAAGGTCCCAGGAAAGCCCAGGGTGGTGCCCACAGTGCAGCGTTCGATGGCTCCTCTCAGCAGCAGCAGCCCCCAACGGGAGGTTGTGGGCAGAAGGAGGAGGTGCCTGCCCTGGGGGCTTTGGAGCCCTAAAACCGGGGTGTCCTCCTGAGAGCTGTGTGTGAACCCCAACACCTTGAGGAAACAACGAAGCATGAGAAATCACCTTCCTTAGAGGTCTGCAGAGGAAAATGTGTCTCCCGTTGGGATGAGATGCACACGTGAAGCCCGCTCCCCGGGACGAGCCCTGAGGCTGCTCCCGCTGCTGCTCCCAGCCCAGGCTGGGGAAGACAAGCCGGGGGCTGCTGCAGAAGAGGTGATGGTGCTTCCTCTCCTTCTCCCTGCAGTACTGACCTTGTAACATCCGCAGCCTGCACCATGCGAATCATGTTCTCTTAAGCCATTTCTTGTCAACAGTCTCAAGTTGCGCCAGGGGAGGTTCAGGTTGGATGTTAGGAAGATCTTCTTCACTGTCAGAGTCGTTAGGCATTGGAACGGGCTCCCCAGGGAGGTGGTGGAGTCACCATCCCTGGAGGTGTTCAAAAAACGTTTAGATGTGGCATCGAGACATGGTTCAGTGGGTTTAGCAGACATGGTGGCGTTGGGTATACAGTTGGACTTGATGATCTTTGAGGTCCCTTCCAACCATAATGATTCTATAATTCTTTTTCTTCACTCTCTTTCTTTCTTTGCTCTTTTCGGTTTCTTTCTTTCTTGTTGGAGAGGAAGTCTTCTGACTTTCCTGCAAGACAACTTTGGGGTCAGAAAGGGACAATTTGGAGTCAGCCCCTGTCCTGTGTTGCAACCTGCGTGGAGGATGCATCTGCAGGAAGCTTGTGTTTTGGATGTGGAAACCTGGTCTCTTGTCTCCTGCATGCTGATTCTTAACGAGTATTTTGGCTTTGTCCCTGGTTCCCTGCTGATAATTAGGGATTGCAGCACAACGGCAGGGGCAGTGGAACTTGTCATGGAGAACTCCCAGTCCGGAGCTGCAGAGTTACTTGAAAATACTTTGTTAATTAGAAATCTGTATCTTTGTGATGCATTGTGCTCCTGGGTCCTGTCTGCCAGA